ATGCCCGAAAGACTACGTCGTAACCTTTTTCGGGATCTTGGGCGCGCGTGTGAGGGGCGGGCGCGAGGGCAGAAGTCAGGCCCTTGCTGCTCCCTGTCCCCTGGTGCTGACGCGGGTGGCCTGGCTTTGGTGCCGCCGTCTGCCCTGGCGCCCGTCCCTACGAAGGGAGGTCAAGTTCCCGAAAAGCGGCTTCGACTGAGTCTGTCTTTTATTCAAACCTTGCTTAGTTTTTATGTTCACACTCGTGGATTTGTTCTTTTTTTCCGATCACCAAGGTAGCGTTCTAAAAATCCTGGGAAACAGACAATTGGTGAACTGTCCAAACCCCTGACCTTCCCTGGGCCTCAGCACCCCTCCCAGCCTCCGGGGGTCTCCCATATTCTCTCTCGGGGGCTGGGAATTACAAATATGGTTCATTCTTTAAAATATATGTTTATTGATTTCAGAGAGGAAGGGAGAGGGGGAGAGAGAGAGAAACATCAGTGATGGGAGAGAATCATGGATCAGCTGCCTCCTGCACGCTCCCCACTGGGGATCGAGCCCGCAACCCGGACATGTGCCCGGACAGGGATAAGGTTCATTCTTAATCTTTAAAAAAATCCACGCCAAGCAGAAGAGCAGATTGAAAAACAGGAACCCGCCCCCCACGGCCGCCCCCTCCCCAGGACGGCCGGGAGCAGCCTGGGTCCCCCTCCCCCCATACCCCCACCCCGCCTGCGAGAGCACCCCTGTGGCCTCCCGGTTTCCACCCCGAAGTGACGCCCGCTGACCTACCTTTCTGCCTAACATTTGCATCATCAACACCCCAAACCGCTCGCCCTCACGCGCTGTGGGCCTGTTTTTCAGAGCGGAGACCGAGAGGGGCCTCTCCCGGAAGCACATCATAGAAGGTGAGGGGCCCTGGGTGCAAAACGGAGGGTGCACACCCACCCCTCCCGACGAGCACAGCCCCAGGCCTGGGGACACCCGCTCCTCCGTGTCCGAGGGAGGGCAGGGGTGTGGGCAGGGTGGGGCCGGTGTCGCCCGGGGAGGGACAGTGTGGCCTCCGAGCAGGACACAGACAGGCCTGGCTTTCCATTCAGTGCTGATGGGGAGTGAGCGCCGTCACTTCCCCAGGCCTCTGACGCGGCTCAGGGAGAGCACAGCCCGTGGGGGCCCCGGGAATGGGGAGCACCCAGGCGAGGGTGGATGTCAGACACGGCCCGAGGGGCTCAGCACCCGGAGCACGGCCGGGTCAGCCAGCGCGACCCTCTTCCACCATATTTTCCGTGTCTCCTGCCTTTTCTGTCCTCCTCATGTTCATCCACTAACAGATGATTGGGGGGCCTGGCCACCCCTGCCCCAGCCCAGCACTCACTCCAGCTCTGCTCTGACCCCGCCGGGTGCAGGGTCAGACGCCCTCGGCCTTGGGTGCGGTGGGCGCCATACATCCTGCCCCTCCCTCCCTGTCACCCCACGGGCCACGGGAGACCCGGGACGGTCCCCCCACATCCCAGCGCAGGACTTTGGCTTCCTCCCCTGGCCTCCACGGCCCCCAACTGCCCGCCTCTCCCTTCCACCTCTGGCTCGGGCGGCGGCCCCGGCAATCTGTGATGACGGTGACCCTCCCTCCCACTCCTCCCAGGTCTGAAGGCCTCCCTGGAGCGGCTGCAGCTCGAGTATGTGGACGTGGTGTTTGCCAACCGCCCGGACCCCAACACGCCCATGGAAGGTGGGTTCTCCGCCGGCTGGCCCAGAGGTCCTACCTGAGGCTTGAGGGCCTCGGCACAGGCCCCGCTGGGCACCCAGGCCAGCGGGGAGGGCAGGCCAGGCCTTTGGGGCGGAGAGAGCGGGCAGGGCGGCCTGAGCTCGGCCCCAGACTCCCCCTCCCCCCAGCCGGGGGCACCTGGCACACCTGGGTCCCCGTCCGGGGTTCGAGGCTGTGGCATGCTCTCTCCCCTCCTGGCTGTTAAGAGTTGGCAGCTCAGTGGGGTCACAAGATGATGGCTCGTTGCAACTGCTCCTCCTTTCCATCACCTTCCCGAGGCCTCCCTCTTTCGCTCAGCTCCTTCGAGGAGAAAAGACACGCAGGGCTTCGCAGAGCGGTTTTAGTTTCTTAGGCGCTTAATTATTCTTTCGACTCCCGCGGCCACCCCCTCCCATCTCCCTCGGCCTCCTGCTTCAGACCTCTCATGTGCTCTCCTGCTTCGGGGACTTGGAACGTGAGGTGTTCAGTTATTTTTCCTTCATTTGTTGACATATATGTGTGTATATATGTACACCGTGTGTGCACGCGTGTGTATATATATATATATGTGCGTGGGGCTTTTAACTCGAATTCTGCGGAAGTGATTTGTGCCTCCCTCCCGCGCCCTCTGTCATCCGCGCCTCCCCGGTCCCCACAGCTGTCGACTCTGGTCTCTGAATCTCTCTTTTATCACCAGGGGACCCATTTAGTTCCTCCAAGTCCAGGACATTCATCATAGAAGGTACCCAGTACCCTCGCCGGCCATTGACCTGTGTCTGAGCTGCATTTTATGAGGCAGTGGTTTTATTTACATGACTCCTTCCCCAGGACAAACTCCTCCATAAAATGCAAAAGGGAAACTCGGTGCCCCGCCCCGCCGGCCGCTGTCCTTCATTCTCCGCCCTCTGTGCATGCCCCGCCCCCCGCCTGGCGCTGCTGAGGTCCTGGGGTGGCCGAGGCCCCTCCTGAGCTGGGGATGCTGCGATCAGGGCCTAAAACCTTGGCGCTGGGTGGGCTGGGGCAGGGCTGGGGGAGGCCAGGGTCCCCCCGGAGCAAACACATCGGGGATCCCAGAGCATGTGGCCCCCACAAGTCTTCCCTTCTCCGTAATTCATGTTTGCTAAGCTCCTGCCCCAGCCAGAAGCCATGAGCCCCATGCGGGCTGCGCCCACAGCGCCTGGCTCCTCCGTGAGCGTCCTGGCAGGCATGGCGCCCGTATCCCTGGGAGGGCTGGCCACCTGCCACTCACCCCTTCCTGTGTGGCCTGACCCCCCACTGGAATGGAACATTGTCCCCCTGGAAGGACCCCCTCATGAGCCGGGAAACTTGAGACCCTGGCAGCCTCTGGCCCTCAGGGCCCCAGGACCCCACCCCACGGCAGGCCACAGCCTCCCGGGGGCCTGGGCTGAGTTCCACGGCGGCAGGGCTCCTGCCTGCCAACTGGCACTGCCACCCGACCCCGCCCATGTATTATTTGTGACACGGCAGGAGATGCCAGGGGTCTTGGCAGCAGCTGCAAGGATTTGTTCGACAGCATTAAATATTGAGGCGAAGGACAGGCCCCTCACTGCCCCTGTGTCTGGGGCACTGACATCACACTGGGGCAGAGGGCAGAGCGCCATGGTCCGTGTGAGGGCACCACGGTCCCGGGTGTGGGCTCCGTGCCCGCCTGCCACCGCCTGGGACCCTCCGGGAGCCCAGCAGCCTGGGCCCAGGGCACCCGCCGTCAGGGCCGCCACGGGCTGTGGGGCTACCGCGTGGCCGTGACCGCAGGCTCGGGCGGCCTGCCCTCTGCATGGAAGGGCCCGGCCGGGAGCCAGGCTGGGGACGGGGCGCCTGGGCTTCCTCTCCAGCATGTGGGCCTGCGCCGTGGCTGAGAGGAAGGGGCGCTCGCGCTGCTTGGCTGCAGGTCCCCCGAGAGTGTTTCTAAAGAGCCCGACGGGGCGCCAGGCCGGCACGGGGCTCAGGGCGCGGGTGTGGGACCCTCAAGCCCCTCCAACCGACACTGTTGTCCTCCACGTCCACCGGTGTCAGCAAAAGGGCGGCCCTGGGGGGTCTGGGGGGTCCACGGGCCCGGGCTCCCCGCCAGCCAGCTCCCCTCCCTGGGACGGGAGGGAGGACGGGGCTCGGCCTGCAGGTGTGGACGCCCAGGTGTGAGTTTTGAGGGCGTCTCCGCGCCCACGGAGACGGCCACCCCAGGAGCCCAGCCACCGCCGCCTTCTCCTGAAAGGGGCCCTCGGCCAGGGGCCTGCGTCTCGCTCGGTTTTAGAAACACTGTTTGTCGGCTCCACTTCCCACGCTGCCCGGACTTGCAAGCACTGTATGGGGCCCGGGAGGCATCTGGGGGAGCGGCCTCCCCCCGCGAAGCTGAGACGTTAGAACTGAGAAATGTGAGGTCAGGTTCTGTTTCAAAAACGACAGCATCCCCACGAGCTGAGGCAGCCCAGGAAGGGAAGCCGGCAGGTTTCGCCTCCCAGAGCCTCTCCTGAGGAGCCGGGGGGGGGGCGGGGGGGGGCGTCGCCCCATTTAAAAGCAAGGCCAGTCTCCGCGGCTGAGGTCCGAGGACACGGGATTCTCGCTGCCGGGTCTTCGGTGGAGACCTTGACGTCCCGCTGCAGCCTCGGGCCTCCCCAGGAGGGTCCCCCAGACCCCCATGGCGCTGGGAGCAGAAGCCACCCTGTGCCAGGACATGCTCCAGCCTGGGACGGGGCTGGCGTGCGAAGCGGGGGCCTGGCCCAGACGGGCTGCCCCTGTCTCCTCTAGCAATTCTGGGCCACCCAGGGCCCTGCGCCCTCTGTCCCTGCAGATGCCACGGTCACTGCGCCCTCCAATTCTGCAGCTCCCAGGGGGAGTGGGAGGAGCCCGGAGCAGCCGCCCAGAAACAGGCGAACACTGCGTTTACCTCTGCTGCCTCCTGCCAGGCTGGCTGTGACCTTCATCCCTCCCTGGCTCTGCCTGGGGGTCGGTCCCTGGTCCCTCCTGGGACTAGAGGGCCTCTCGAGACTGGCAGCACATCCTCCGATCTCCCCCCACAACCCTTCTAACCTGACACAGAAGCACCCAGGCCACCCACCACCCATCTCAAAGACCCCATAAGGCCTGTACCTACCGGGGGAAGTCACTTTCAAGACCAATTGCTTGGCCCTGGCCGGTGTGGCTCAGTGGATAGAGCGTCCACTTACGGACAGAAGGGTCCCAGGTTGGATTCCGGTCAAGGGCACGTACCTCGGTGGCAGGCTCCTCCCTGGCCCGGGCCCTGGTCAGGGCGTGTGCAGGAGGCAACCAATCGATGTGTTTCTCTCGCATCGATGTGTTTCTCTCTGTCTTTCCTCTCTCTTCCACTCTCTCTAAAAATCAATGGAAAAATATCCTCGGGTGAGGATTTAAAAAAAAAAAAGACCAATTGCTTGGAGCAGGTCCACTTTTTTCTGTCGCCCCGGGTCCCCGCCCCCGACCTGGGAGCCAGGAAGTACAGAGCTTGCAAGACGTCTTTGCAGCACCCTGCCCTGCTCCCGGCGCGCCTGTGTTTGCAGAATGTCCCCCGCTGGGCCCCGGGCCCCGCCACCCCCCAACCTGCACTTCCCCTTCTCTCCCGACAGAGACCGTGCGCGCCATGACCCACGTCATCAACCAGGGGATGGCCATGTACTGGGGCACGTCCCGCTGGAGCTCCATGGAGATCATGGTACGGGGCCTCTGGGGTGTGTGCACGCGTGGGCTCCTGCCCGCTCTGCGGAGGGATCCCGGTCCTGGGCTCCGGCAGGTTCCGGGCTGTGGGTCCAATGGCACAGGTGCTGTGACGTGCGGCGGCCATGGCTGCCGGTCTTGGTCTCAGCTCAGGGCGGGGGTGGGGCTGACCTGGGTTAAGATGGGCTCACTCCCCTGTGGGGCAGGACTGCGAGGAGGGCCCCGGGAGGCTGTTTTGGGGGTGACCTGAGAGCAGGTGCGAAGCTCTTGGCAGAGGCCTGCAGCCCCGCGGACAGCCGCCCCGGGCCCGGGCACCGAGCTCTCGGCACTAAGCAGCAACCAGCATCCTCTGGCGCCACCAGCGCCTTCTCCCCATTTCACAGACAGGAGAACTGAGTCTCCCAGGCTGGCACGCAGGGCTTCCCCTGGGTCTGTCTGCGGACATCAGCCCTGGCTCACCAGTCTGGTCTGCGGGGTTGAGACCTTAAGCTCCAAGTTCCAGAAATGGGCAGATGCGGCCACTCTCCCTCCTGACCGAGCATTTTCTGCCCGTGCCGTCCCCCCGGGGCCAGGCCCTGGAGTGACGACCAAAGCAGTGGCCCCACGGCAGGCAGCCCCGATGTGCCCCTGGGCCAGGCGCCGTCCGAGGGCTGCCAACACCGCTGCTCATGGACCCTCATGACAGATGGGGAAACTGAGGTCCAGGCGGTGAGCCCCGCCCAAGGCCACCTGGCCGGGAATGCCAGAAGCCAAGTCCCTCAGTCCCTCAGCCACCCCTTTCCCACCGCAGGGCCCGACCTGACAGGTGCCCAGGATCGCTGAGAGGGGGAGGGGCAGGTGGCGGTCCTTCCCCGGGAGGCCCGTGTGTCCTCCCTGCTGCCCGGGCGGCCCCGGTACCGGGCAGGGCCCAACGTGCCCTCTGCACCCGCAGGAAGCCTACTCGGTGGCCCGGCAGTTCAACCTGATCCCGCCCATCTGCGAGCAGGCGGAGTACCACATGTTCCAGCGCGAGAAGGTGGAGGTGCAGCTGCCCGAGCTCTTCCACAAGATCGGTGGGCGCCCTGCCCTCCCCCCCTCTCCCCAGTCCCCGCCCTCCCCCAGTCCCCGCCCCCTGCACCAACCTCTCCCCAGTCCCTGCCCCCTGCCCCGCCCTCCCCCAGCCCCCGCCCCCTGCACAGCCCTCTCCCCCGCCTCCCCCACCCCACCTGGGGGCCCAGGGCATGACCTCGCCTGGCTTTCCTCCTGCAGGAGTGGGTGCCATGACCTGGTCCCCTCTGGCCTGCGGCATCGTTTCTGGAAAGTATGACAGCGGCATCCCGCCCTCCTCCAGAGCCTCCTTGAAGGTCAGCAGGGGTCGGGACGGGGAGGGGAGGGCCAGGGATGGGCATTTAGTAGAGGTGAGGGCCGTGGGAACTTGGGGCTCTGGCTGGCCAGAGCGGGGCCAGAAGAGCTGCCCACCCCATGGGCATGCCCAGGTGAAGAGGTGCCTTCACTCCCCTGCACCCCCCTAAACACCCGCCTTGGTTCCACATTCACAACCTGGGCTGGGTCCACATGT